TCCTATGGTGCCAAGCCTCCAGCAGGATTAGATTAACTGGGATTCAATCTATTGTCCTTGACTGATTGCTGGTAGGTTCAGAAATGTGAGGTGCGGAGAGCTAGCTGAGTATTAGAAGCAGAAGTTTCACGTTTGCAAGTACTTAGCACATAATGTTGACAATACATTTTCAAGTAAATCAAGGTTGAAATGTGCAGATTGATTTATAAACAGGGTGAGATTTAGGCTTCCCCTTTGCTTCATGCCACATGCCCCCAGGAAGGCAATGGGGAATGACTGCAGCACTTTCAAATCAAGCAGACCTGAGTTCTATATGTTATATATTGTTGCTGTTCAGTGCCTTCCAGTTGGCTCTGACTCATGCAGACCCTATATACAGTTTCTGAGACTTTAAATCTTTGCAGGAGCAGCGAGTCTCTTCTTTCTCTAGTGGACCAACTGGAGGGCTCAAACTGTGGACCTTGTGGTTCACAGTCCAGTGCTTATTGTGTGGAGCTATAGTGTCCTGGTAGTATAGTGGTTACAAATCGGGCTGCGAACCTCAAGGTCAGCAGTTCGAAACGACTAGCTGTTCTGTGGGAGAAAGACGAGGCTTTCTGCTCCCATAAAGATTTACAGCTTCGGAAACACTGTACAGGGTCGCTATGAGTAGGAACTGACTCCATGGCACATAACAACAACAACTGTGCTCCCAGATCATATGTGAATATGAATATTTAATTATATATCAGGTATTTTAAAAGGTTCATGGAAAGAAGAGGATTAAAAAAGATAGACATTTTTTTCATGAAAGTTTTGAAACCCCTTTGTATATATAATTCCTCAACTTCTTTAAGCTTCTGTTTCTTCTTTTGTAAAATGGATTTTAAAAAGTCCTGAACGGGATTTTTGTGAGAATTAAGATCACAAAGTTCCTGCCACACCCCCATGCCCCTTGCAAGGTATATGCTTCTCTTTGGACAAGTTGAGAGAACGGGTTGGACTCTGACTTAGAATAGAACACTGGGTCCATCTACAACTTCTTTGAAGGTCTCTATAATGTAGTAGTTAAAAATCGGGCTGCAAATCTCAGGGTCAACAGTTCAAAACTATCAGCTGTTCCATGGGAGAAAGATAAGGTGTTCTGCTCCCGTAAAGATGTACAGCCTCGGAAACCCTGTACAGGGTCGCTATGAGTCGGAACCGACTCCACGGCACAAAACAACAACAACAACATAATACCATTCATTCAACCACAACCTATACCATCATTACCAGTATTTCTCCAAGTCACTGGTAAAATCATGATTATATGATTTTTTTTTTCATATCTAAAATATGGTATGTTGTTGTTAGGTGCCGTCATGTTGGTTCTGACCCATAGCGAATCTGTATCAGGTTTCCAAGGCTGTAAGACTTTTGCAAGGATAAACACTCATCTTTCTCTCACAGAGCAATTGGTGGGTTTGAACTGCCAAATTTGTGCTTAGCAGTCCAGTGCTCATCCTACAGTAACACCAGCACTCTTAAAGAATGGTATAAGTAAATGTAAAGGACTAGTAGTAGTTTATGTTGTTAAGCCTCAGGTTACTGCAAAACTGGAGAGAGGCGCCAAAAGGCCTGTGCAATTTGCTTGGAATGCAAACCTCATTTAAGTTTGTGCACATTGGGTGAAGGTGAGACCATTTGGAAGGAAACACTCTCAGCCCTTGAATGGCTAGGAGAGTGCTAAACCTTTATAAATATTAATTGAACACTGAGCTTCCGGAATAACATCAGCCAGGTTTGATAGGAAAAAATGAGTAGGAAAAGGCAGTGATGGATCAACAGAAAATAGTGCCTGTGGCAATTAGTTTAAACTTGTTTAGTGACCTCTCATAGCTGGCTGTGGAAACTGTGATGGCAAACAGAAACTGCTCATGGAGCCCCTACCTCAAGTGGTGCCCAGGGCACATGTCCTACCTGCCATGTCTTTAGAAATAAAGGATAAATGGAGTCCATATGGTCTTTTACCCAGAAACGCTGGTTTTCACTAAGCCTGTGAAGCAGATTGTTTTTTCTTCACCTTTTGACTTTTTATCATCTTTATTCTATCTTTTCTTTTCCAACTCCATTCTTAAATTAATCATCATTAGCTCATCAGAAAACAAATGTCTGATTGGGGCACATGGGGATGGCAAGATGGCAATAATGCCTCCTGTTGGTGCTTCCTTTCTAATAACAAACTTTGTTCTCTTGCTGGCCCCAAAGAGCCAACACTGCCAAGAGCAATTACATCTGGCTTCTGCTTTGCCTCACATGACATCAGCAAAAGTTGTCATTTGAGTTTCATTTGCTAGAAATGTACAACCAGGGATACTGCTAAAAGTAGAAAAGGCCCATCTGGGAGCAGAAAGTGAGCAAAAAGGGGCATGACTAATATCAGGGAAATGGTAGTAAAACCCCTCTCTTTTGATTCATGAACTGGGGGCAATGAATGTATTTGCCAGGTGGGTGCACAGTCAACTACAATCCTGGAGTTTTATCCATGGTTTTCTTTCTTTCTTTCTGATTAATTCTAACCATGATCAGGCTTTGGTTGTCCTGTTAGTTCAATGGTCAGGTTGGGTGATGTCCTTAAGCAGACTGGACACAGTCCCAGGTACTCAGGAGGAGAGGAGGGAGCGCACCACGAGGGCTTCCCTTAAACCAATAGAGAGCAGTTTGCCCCACTCTGTTAAAAAACTTGTAAGTAAATGCATTAGGATGTAATTTAAAGATACATAGTTGTACCACAATAGACACTCACATACACGTGATCTTCAAATTGTCCAAAGCCTGAGTTTCATTCTAATACATAGATTCCTTATCAATGAAGGTAGCTAAGAGAATCTTGGGACATGACATGATAAACCCCACAAGGGACTCTGTGCTGAACAGCATTCTAAATGCACATTAAAGTGGGTAATAGAGTAATGTTGTTCTTGTTAAGTGCTGTTAAGTCAGTTCCAACTCACAGTGACCCTGTATAGGGTTTCTGAGGAGCAGCTGATGAGCTTGAACCACCAACCTTGTGGTTCAAACCAATTTTGGTCCAGCACATAAACCTGCAGCACCACACCTGGACTCCAACAGAGTCTTAACGCAGGTCATTAATGCAATGCAGGCCAAATTCAAGCTCTCAGATATATTACAATTTGTTTGTTAAGTGCCTTCAAGTGGTTAGGATTCATAGTGACCCTATCTAGGGTTTCCAAGGAGTTGTTGGTGGGTTTGAACTGCGGACTTTGTGGTTAGCAGTCCAGTGCTTATCCTATAGGACCACACCAGGATTCCAAAAATACCACCTGAGTAATGAGTGACTTATCTTGAAAGAAGAGTGACTGACTCTTTCATCTGGGACTGCAGGATGGGGGTAGGGGGTAGTTCCCTTGCCCCTTCAGCCCTTTAGTGGCATGTGATCGTTCCCTCCACCCAGGCATCTGAGAGCATCATTCCTGACTCACACTGTTGTTAGTTACAGTTGAGGTGATTTACTGATCTTTGAATCTTGAAATCATTGCGTCCATCTTTCTCTCTTTGACAGCTAAGAGGAAAAGGACAGCATTAAGAAGTGAGGGGTAGAAATCTTCAGGCACTAAAAGAAGGAGACCCAGAGAGAATAAAGAGACCTTATTTTGGGATGAGGTTTATTCCTACTCATAGCCCTCCATAGGTTTAGCTAGGTAGGCCCTATATTAGAAAGAGGGTTATTCAGTTGTATCTGTAACTTGTTCAAGACTAGCAGCAATCAGAACCAGAGACAAAGTCAAAGTTAGGAATGCTTGTCCTCCTTTTTCACAAACACATATGTGCATACATAAACACATGTAAACACACGCACACGAGCACTTTATGGGGATTCAAGATAAATTGACATCTGGATCCCAAAGTCAGGAGTCTTGGTAATTGGAGCAATGACCCTAATTTCCTACCCTCCATTCTCTTGGTTTCTTTCTGGTAGCTTGGCAGTGATGGAAAGGCAGCTTTTAAAGGAAGACTATTTCTATTAGCTGGTGTTACATATATTCATGAGGGTCACTAACAAGGACCCTTCTACTCGTCCATTCGTGCCTGCTCCCTATCAAGGCTGACTTTGAGGTTTTTCATTATGAAAATAGATACAATTAGGGAGGGAGGAGAGTACTCTGACATTTCCCCCATACACATGTTTCTAGTTCTCAAGCTCAAGCACTTATGATTAGTCAGTGCATTCTACTCCAAAGAACTTTTCATTCTTCTCCTTTATTTTGAACTTGAAAAAAGAACTTTCCTATATCTAGAGTCTTGGTGTGGTGCTGTGGGATAAAACACCAGATCACGAGGTTGGCAGTTCAAACTTACCAGCGTCTCTTTGGAGACCCTTTAGAGGGTCCCTGTAAGTCAGAACCGACTTGACAGCTCTTAACAACAACATATCTAGAAATAGAGTCCTGGTGTTGCGCTGCGGGATAATGAATGCACTGGACTGCAGGGTCAATTTGAACTACAAGGTTGATGGTTCAAACTCACCAGCCGCTCCTTGGAAACCCTATATAGGGTCGCTATGAGTTGGAACCAACTGGACGACACTTAACAACAACAACATATCTAGAAATAGGAGGGGGCTTCAAAGAGTTGGTGGAAAAATTCCATTATTTTTCAATTCCATTCTTGGCACGAACTTTTTAGAGTCCCCTTGTATACCTTAGTAAGGTCCCATTAGGGTCACTAACAAAGACCTTTCCACTCATCCATTCATACCTGCTCTCTACCAAGGCTCCCTATCACTGACTCCATACCATAGGGCCTTGGGTCTGTGTTGACATTCACAAAACATGGAAACCAACAGAAGCTACTGGTATGGCTACCCTTTCCTGGCAAATTTCCTGACCTTCTTCATGTGGTACACGTTCACCCACAGTTTGGCATCTAGCAAGGTGATTTTACTACAGTAACAGACCAAACATAAGCAGGTAATACCTCAGTCCACAGAACAGTGCCCAGGAGAGAAGATTACTTACCAGGATCCTCCGTTTGCCTTCAAAGGACCCCAGCAGGTCAGTCACTGACTTCCTGGGACTCTGAGGAAAGTGTTTCACAGTGGGTTTAGGGTAGCCATCCTGCTCTGTTTTATCAGCCTTTTTCTTCTTGCTCTTTTCTTTCTCCTGCTTACTCTTTTTCTCAGGCTTGTCCTTCTTCACTTGCTTTTCACTCTTCAGTAGCTTGTCTGGTTTCTCATTCTTTGCTTTCTTTTTCTTGTCAGATTTCTCAAGCTTCTCATGCTTTTTAGACTCTTTTGCTTTTTTAGGGGGAATGTTGCCCACTGGCTTCACCTCCTCCTGATGAGAGGCAGAGGTGGTAGGCCGGCTGAGGTCATATTTATCCTCATATTCATTGCTAAGAATTTTGTCCTGGGCCTTCTTTTTGGGAGGTTTTCCCTTTGTTGGCTTTAGAGGACCTGGCACCAGATTTGGATCTCGGTTGCCATGTTCCCGCCTGTCTGTGCGGTTGTCCCGGAAACGGCCCGGGCCAACCCTCGTGCTGTGTTCTGAGATGGTGGTGGGAGGGGCGGCAGTGACACTCTCAAAGCGGGTGGCCTTGCTGGGCCTCCTGGTGGGTTGTGGCCTCTCCTTGTGTTGCTCCTTCCTGGGTGGAGGGTAGAGATTCTCTGAGGCGGTGCCCCCCCTTGCAGTGGTCATCACCTCAGCTGTGGTGGGGGGCCTGTGGGAGTCTGAGGTGGGCCAGAGTCTCTGGGTGGTTGGAAAGGCTGTACTGGTTGTAGGTCTTGTAGCTATAGTTACCACCCGAGATGTGGAGCGCGTCATTGTTGTGACTGGAGCCAGAGGAGAGGTGGTGGCCCTTGGGGTTGGAGGAGCAGGGGGAGGAACCACTGTAGTGACGACCAGTTTTCTTACCACCTTCACCCGACTCTCTCTGGTTGGTGGCACATATGCTCTCCTTGAGTCTTCTTTTCTTTTCTCATTGCCCAGATTGGACCTTCCTCCTCCACTGTTGTCCCCCTCCTCCACCACCTGTCCCTCTACACCAGAGGCTTTACATTTTTGGACAAAACCCTTCTGTCTGATCTTCTCTATCCTGCGGATGGGACCCTGGTCAATGATCTCATACATGGCCTCTAGTCGGACCGGATACGGGTAACGTTCTTCTACCTGGAGGGTCTTCTTCAGCAGCACCATGCCAAACTTCCCCTTCTCTAACTTCAAGAAGCTCATCAGTTTGGGGATGAGACTTGGGTCCAAGGGCTGCTCCAGGATCTGCCCTTCATTGGTGATCCTCCGTACCTTGCCCCCTTCCTCGCCTGCCTGGTGGAACAGCACAATCTGTTGAATGTGTCTCTCTGCCAACTCACAATACACATCGTCCTTCAGAAGGCTCATCATGAGGCGGTAGTAGCCCTCCGAGGCATGAGGGGCTGAGATGACCCACACCCTGTTCTTCCCTGCAAAGCTTGCAAGGATGTTGGGGGAGCTGGAGCCAGAGGGGAAACGCAACATTCTTGACCGAGCCAAGGACCCCTCATCTCGGACCATTTCACGAGGGGAGCGCTTGGCTGTTGGTCTCTGCTCAGGTCTCACGAAGGCCCCATGGATGCCCGCAGGGGCTGATGATACGGTTGGGTGTACTAGTCTCAAAACTGGCATATTCCTCCTTCTTTGGAGAGACTGAAGGTTGGTTTCTTCTAGAGTGGATCTCTCAATTCCCTGAGACCTCCCTGTGTGCCTCAGAAACCGAGCTGGTCTATTGCCAGTTTGGGAAACCAGAGGTAATTTCCACCCTTCATGGCTCCTTTTTTTCTTGGCATGGAGTTGGGGTTCTGATCCACATACCAGCAATACTGCCAACAACATGGTGAAACTGAGTCCCATTCTCCACGTCATTGTGTAATCCACTTTGAGAGACAGCAGGGTCATGAAACAGCAAGGAGGGGGTGGGGAGAAGAGAAAATAAAATAAAATCATTTCATTGCAAACAAAGCTGGGCATACTGTTTTTCTCTATCTTGCCCAAGGGGAAGGGAAAGGAAGGATTAGAGAAGGGAGGAGGTGGGAGAATGGAAAATAGGCTGGTATCCTACTGCTTTTAAGCCCCTGTAATTTGTCAATTCTTAGCAGAGACCAGTACATTAAGCAGGAAATGCGATTTAGTTCCCCTGTCAGCATGCTTGCCCTAAATTTCAACGGACTCTGTGGATGCTCCAGAGAAAATTCAAACTGAGCCTGCAAATTATGACAACATTCACATTTCATTACTTCAAGTCAGCAACAAAGAAACAAATGTACACACAGAGACAGAAAGGATTACACACTTACATTGTGGCTCATAGAGATGGAATGCAGAGGGTTTAACAAGAAACTTGAAGTTGGGTCCCAGAACAGCTTCCTAGATGAAATATTTTTCCTTTCAACCCTCTTTCTCCTTCCTGAGGGTAAGCAGTACAAAGGAGGGTTCGCAGCGACTCCAGCTTTCAAAGTAGCACCACAGTCCTGTTCTCCGGAGCTGAGCGATTTTCTCCTTTTCTTCTTTGCTGTCTCTTTTTACCTTCTTGACAAGTTGGCTGAGGTGAGAGGAGCTGTCCTTCTAAGTCGTTGTATCTCCATTTGTCTGTAGCTTCTGCCTTGTTGTCCCTGGATGCCTGTCACTTGCACAGACACAGAGTGGCCCTTAGAGTGGAGTTCCAGTTATTTCTGAATCTCTCTCTCTTTAAATTCCATGAGCCTTCTTATCACTCTTTCCCCCACAGTCTGGCTTAGTTCCTTTGTTTCCAAGCTTGAAAGCACCGGGATTAATACATTTTCCAGGCTGAGGGAAAACACAGGAATGTGATGTTGAAAAGGACTGTTTTTTTTTTTCTTTTCCTGCGATTCTTTCCTCCCTTTCTTTCTTCCCACCTTTCCCTCTTCTGTTCCTTCTGCTTCTTTTTCTTCTTTCTCTTGCCTTGCTTTCGTCCCAGAAATGTCAGGGTAACCTCAGTTTTGATCCAAACCAAACTCAAACAACAGCAGCCACTGGAAATCAAGAAAAGTTCACTAAGAATTTAACAGATCAGCAAAACACCGCCTCCTTCCCATTTCAGCACACTGAGGGTGGACTCAGAGGGGAAGGGGAGGGCTGCTCTTTGGGATGGGGGAAAGTTTTGAAACACCACACATCTTCATAAATCACTTTAAGATAGGATGGTTGAGAAGTTAACTCCTTGCACACCATGTAATCAGAATATGCTCCTTTCTTGTCCTCATATTGCTCTTTGGAAAGGAAGCATTCTCAGATTTCTACATTTGGGTGCATGACTCTCTTAGAGACAGATACTCATTTTGGTTTAAGGTCCTTGGAGACTATATATATATATATATATATATACACACACATATATATAAAATCTCTTTCTCCCTGCTTCACGCTTTTAGTTTGAGGTTGGAAAAGCCCATGGAAAAAATGACTGTGTTGTTTTTATTTTATGCTAATTGGGGATCATATTACTGTGTTCTTGTTCCTAGTTTCTCTCCTTGGCATGGTAAAAGGTTAGAAATGCAGGCAATGGCTGCGGCTCCCCTGAGACTATGGTCAGCTCTTACATCATGGAAAGGGCATTATGGTCTCTAGCTCAGAGACCTGGCTAAAGAGAGCTAAGGGTTTCCGCTTGGGCACGAGTTTGTGAGTGTTTGTACATGTGTGAAGGGGAAGTACAATAGTTGGCTCTCCAGAAACTTTAGGTGTCAGTGGGACTTTGGGCAATCCTTAGAAGTAGCTCCATCAGATTCCAAAGGAGAAATTGAAGCAGTTTTGGGCTTCCACCTCCTGGGACAGCCATGGGGATTCAGCTTTCTGTGGCGCTGGAAGGTGCCTTGGGTATATATTTCAGCCTCTCAAAGGACATTTAGTCAGTATTAACTGTCATGGATCATGATGAGCAAGGGTTCTCAGAAGGCTCCATGTAAGTTGTACCACTCTAAAGGCTACCTTCACTAGGTGAATCTCGGTCTCTAGTTGCTACTTCTACCTCCATTAGACTCATCTATGTATGGTCATGTATACCTTTACCTTACTTAAGTTATTTGCACTCAATTGAGGAAGGTCAGCGAGAAACTAAGTGAGAGTCAACCTCATAGTCCTCTGTTTGAAAACCAATGGGTCCCAAGAAAGAAGGGCCTCCTCTGGCAACCTCTCAGTACAAAACAAAGGTGGGTTTCCAATGGAGACTTTCTACCAGGGGAGTCAGAGAAGACTTAATACTTTCATAGGATTCACCTTTTGAATTAATCAAATGCCTTGAACTAAGTTGGATGATCCTAGATGTTACTTCCTTGTCAATCATAATATGTTCTATGGTGTCCCTCACTAGTTCTCTTCTCTTCCTTATTTTATTTTCTCTTTCCCTTTTCTCTTCTACTACTGTTAAGAATGAATCAATGAAAAATGTGTTGCTTTGGCATCAATTCTTACTCAAGGACCCTATATGTGTCAGAGTGGAGCTGTGCAACATACGGCTTTCAATGACTGATTTTTAGGAAGTGGATCTTCAAGTCTTTCTTCTAAAGTACCTCTGGGTGACCTCGAACTTCCAGTCTTTCAGTTAGTAGCTAAACTCATTAATCTTTTCATCACCCAGGGGCTATTAATAATAGCTATCATTATTGGAAGTCCTGGTGTGGCACTGTGGATTAATGTGCTGAACAGCAAGATTGATTTAAAGAGCAAGATCAGCAGTTCAAGCTCACCATCACTCCTTGAAAACCCTATACAGGATCTCTATGGGTCAGAACCGACTCGACAACACTTAACAACAACAACAAATCATTAATTGAGGCGGAGAACATTGAAATTAGCTTGGACTGTCAAAAGAACAAAGAAATTTGTGTGGGAAAAAGTACAGCCAGAGTGCTCCTTGGAAGCCAAGACGTTCAGATACTCGCATACTTTAGCCATATTATCAGGAAGGACCAGTCAATGGAGAAGGATATAATGTTTGGTAAAATGGAAGGTTGGAGAAAAAGAGGTAGACTTCCAATGAGATGGACTAGCACAGTGGCAACAGAGATGTGCTCAGGCATAGCAACAATTGTGAGGTTGGCCCAGGACCTGGCAGTGTTTCTGTTGTGCATAGGGTCTCTATGAGTCGGTATTGACTCGATGGCACCTAACAACAACAGCAACAACAATCATTTATTGAACACATTTATGTGAGGTTCTAAGCTTGCCACTGTCATATATTCTTTTATTTAGCCCTTATAGTCTCCCTAAGAGGGAAATGGTATTACGTGCATTTTACAAATGAACTCTTTGAATGTTGATGAGGCTAAATAAATTGGGAACATTACAAATGGTAAGCAGTAGTTCCAGCATTTGAACGCAAGTTTAGAACTGTCGATGACACCGTAGGATAAGCACTGGACTGAAAGGTCAACAGTTCAAACTCACTGGTCACCCTTTGGAAACCCTATAGAAGATCCTTATGAGTTAGAACCGACTCAATGGCACTTCATAATAACAACAAATAAAGCATTATATTATCCTGCCTCCCCCATCATTTGCTATCTACACTTGTTCATTTTTATCTCTTTCTTCAGTCCCTGTTTGTGTTTTCCTATGTTCATAGAAGAATCTCATTTATTTACATCTTGAACTGCTAACCGTAAGGTCAGCAGTTCAAATCCACTAGCTGTTCTATGAGTGACAGAGGAGACTGTCTGCTTCCTTCAGATTTCTAGTCTCTGAAATCCTACATCGGGTCACTATGAGTGTGAATGGACTTGATGGCAGTGGGCTTGGGTGTAGTAGTACTTAGACGGTAGTTAGAGTTCTACTTTCTGGAATAGTCGTACAGCTGTACTTTTTGCTTTCTTTATTGGTCCTAAAACCCTCTTATCCTTTTTTTACATATACCATGACTTGTGACTACCTCCCAAAGATACACGCAACATTGGTCATGTATGCACTGGTAAAACTGAAACACAGCTATTTAGTGACCAGGTGTTGACCAGAGAGGAGGTCACTTCAGCTTGAGCTGTGTTTGTCTTGCCTTCTGTGAACTTCAGTCACTAGATGGCGAACTAAACACATACATGTTGTTAAGTGCTATGTGTTGGTTCCTACTCATAGAGACCCTGTATAGTTTCCAAAGGGAAGATCTAATACTCTCCCTCCAGCTTCATGCCTCCTGCCCCCAAATTGTCAAAGTAAAGCCTCTTGTTCATTTTATGACTTTTCAACCTTAATATTTACACCGTCACCTGGAACATCAGAAAAGCTCCCTAGGGAAGTCTAGAGCGCATACACCTACAGCAAGTAGGAAACTAGTTAGCATCTGTCCCTTTTGTGTAGAAACTTACAATGATTTATGACATTGTAATGATTCTCAATTTCTAGTTATTGATTTAAGAGCACAGTGTTAAGAAGTTCACCATTTAGGTCTTTCCATTTTTTTCCAGCAGCTTGTTGTTAGGTGCCATTGAGTTGGCTCTGACTTCCTATGTGTAACAGAATGAAATATTACCTGGTTCTGTGCCAGCCTCACAATTGTTGCTATTTTTGACCAGATTATGCAGCCTCTGTGTCAATCCATGTCTTTGAGGAATCTTCCTCTTTTTTGCTGACCCTCTACCTAGGATGGAGTCCTGGTATGGCACCATCGGTTAATGCGCTGGACTGCAATTTCACCAACCACTCCTTGGAAACCCTAGATAGGGTTGCTATGAGCTGGAACCGACTCGATGGCACTTAGAAACAATAACAACAATAACTACCAAGCATGATGACCTTTTCTAGGGCCTATTCTTTTCTGATAACATGTCTAAAGTATATGAGATGTTCTGGCTGCACTTCATCCAAGATATCCTTGATGATTCTCCTGGAAGTCAATAGTATATTCAATATTTTTCAACAGCACCATAGTTCAAATGCACTAATTCTTCTCTAGTCTTCCTTATTCACTGTCCAACTTTCCAACTGTCCAACATGCATGTGAAGCAATTGGAAATAACATGGCTTGGAGCAGGTTCATCTTAATCCCCAAAGTGATATCTTTGCTCTTTACACTTTAAAGAAATCTTCAGCAGCAGATTGACCAGTGCAATATATTGTTTGAGGTCTTAACACTGCTTCAGTGAGCACTAATTGTGGATCCAAGTAAAATGAAATCCCTGACAACTGCAATCTTTTCTCCATTTATCATGAGGTCATTCATTGGTCCAGTCATGAGGTTTATTTTTTATTTTTTTATTACAATTTTGTTTTTACATTCAATAATCCATACTGAAGGCTGTATTCTTTGATCGTCATAAGCAAGTACTTCAAGTCTTCTTCACTTTCAGTAAGCAAGTTTCTGTCTTCTGCATATCTCAGGTCGTCAATGAGCATTCCTTCAATCCTAATGCCATGTTCTTCTTCATATATTCCAGCT